AATTCACCCTTCAGGTCTTTGTCCTGGGTTCAGCTGTAGCAGTCATTTTTCTCCTCCTTAGTAGCTGGTGCAGTGCTTAAACCACCACAGTCTTCTAATAGAAGAATACTGTTCAAGCATGCCTTCCATCTTCTATCACTGTAGTAAGGATTTATTGTTAGAAATTTTTGAAGTATTCTTCTTTAGTGCGCTTTATGACCCTCTCTGCCCTTTGTTTCATTCTCCATAAATGTTACGAGAGCAGCGTGTCTAACCAACACGCTGAGGCACTGGAGGAAGTTCTAGCAATGTACCTTGGTCAAAAATATTTAGCTTGAGAATGACCCATTTCACTCCTGGTGTGTATGTTTATTCTGTCTCTCCTAGTGCAAACAATTAGTATAATAACACTTCTTAAGGTTAAAGTTTCTTTTCTGTCTTGAAAAGGGTTCTTTTTCCTAAAGAGTTACAGGTAGTTATGCAGCTGTAAGTCAGCCTCAGATGATGGACAAGATGACCAAGTGCCTGATTTTGCAGTGTTTTTCTTGGTGGTGTTCCTGTAACTTTGTTGCCTCACCTGACTCAAGATTCTCTGCTTCTTCCTTATGCTGTTAAACAAGTGCAGAGCAAATAGGAGCCACTGCTTTAAAAGAATCACGTCAAATTCATAAAACTCATGAATCAGCAAGTAACTAAACGTATACCCTGTTTTATTTAGAGAAAGGAAACTTTTAGCATTCTCTGTGGTTCTGAAGGTTCCAAACCCTAGCCAAGCTAGGAAATTGTTTGATATGCACATCAGTAGTACTACAGTAGGAAAGCAGAGATAATTGATTGTTAGCAAGAAAAAGCAGTTCACTTGAGTAGCACATTTGAGGTAACTTCAGTGCTATGAAAGTACATGATCTACAAAATAAACCTTGGTGAACAGTACTTGGGAGCACTCGGATTTGTTTGTCTCCGGCTCCTCTGCACATTAAGTGTTTGGGTAATAAATCAGGATGGGAGCATCCTAGCTGTTTCACAAAAATAACTGGTGACATTTTAGATACACCAGCAACAAGTTTTCTGGTAACCATAAACATCATAGTTTGGAACCACCCAACAAATCAGTAAACTCATCTTAAATACAAATGAAATTGTAGGGACCTGTAGTATTGTCCCATTGCAAGATAAAGGAAGGGCAGACAAGAACTTTAGATTCCCATGCTTATCTATTCTCTGGTTATCTATTGCTGTTTTATTCAGTGCAGCTGAGACTAGTTATCTCCCCTGTCGTTTTTGAGGTCAGATCTTAAGTTGGATGTGTATTACAAATAATTCCATCAGATAGGTTTTTTCAGATATAAGGAAAAACAGATTTCCAAGGAAAAAAGAATCTGTTCCATTACAGATGTTAGTAAATGAAACAGGCGCATAGGACTAGTCAGATGTGCTGCCTTCTTAGTATTTTTTAAAAAGTGGACAAACTATAGAGAAATGGCAGGACAGTTTCAGTTATGATTTTAAAGTTCTTTGTGTTGCTGTTCACACAGTTCTTAAATGTAATGTGGGTGCTCTCCTGGGAAGTGAGGAACCATAATGGAAAAAAGAAACTGCTGGGTTAAATATCTCTTTGGGACAGTGTATGGAAAGGTACCTTCACAGAAGAACTCTTGTGTCACCTGATAAGACTTCTTACTCTCTCTTCACTAGTCTGGCTGAGACAAAATTGTACTGGTAGCTTTTGGCAAGCTCTTTAAGCCAATGAAAGAAACACAGTCTGAATCTGTTTAGTGAGTTTGAAAAATGTAAGTAAATTATAAGAGTGGCTCCACAAAAAGTATTTTATGTTCCTGCCTTTCTTCCCTGCCGTCCCATCCCAATCTAATTGCAAACATGCTTTTGTAAAAGACATAGCTTTAATATAATGAAGGCCAAATATAGCCAGCATGCTCTGATGGAAATAAAACTGGTACTTTGGACAAAATGTGTTTTCATCTGCAATCCTGGCCATAGGAGTGAAAATTACTGGGCTGTAATGGCATGCTGCCACTACCATCTTTGGAAATACATGACAGTAATTGCAAAATCTATTTCCAAGCATCAGAAAAAATTACCTGCACCTAATGATCAGTTTCCTTCTAATTCAGGGGCAAGTAGAAGAACCTTCTTCGAAAGGAGTAGATGATTTAGATGAATGAATATTCATTAAAAAATGAGAATATCATCAGCTTATGAAAAGACATTGAGTTTCTGCGTGCATCAGGATTTGCAGGTTGCATGCGCTGACATGCTTTTTATCAGGTATACCACTGCCACCATCAGCAACATCACCTCTTTCACAAGGAGAACTGGTAGAAGAAGGAAAGCTATTTAACTATGAAGTTAATTCTTTTTTTTCCCCTTTTTTTAGGTGCAAACCCCAAAAATTTCAGTTCCCAAACAGTTGAAGTTAGTCATTGCTTTGACAAATGAAACTAACTAGGGATAAGCTGGGTATTGGATATGGTCAGAACGACCCAGTTCACCTCTTTCCCACATACCTAAATGCCCATTTCTATAAAGGAGTCATTCATAGAGATTATTAAAAACTAAGGGTTTCTATTTTAAGAAATTGAACAGAGGAAATTTAGGAAAAGTTTGCATCTGAAGTATCCCTAATTCTAGGAAATTATGGCAGTTGAGAACTAAGTTGGTAAAGCATATCTTACATTACAAAATTCTGTTTTAGTTTGTTGCGTTGCACATCTAAGTTCTTCACTCCCAAAATATGTATCAATATTGAAGACTGATCATAATAATTGAGTGGTCTGAAGGTTTCATTGTAATGCATACATTGCTTAGACACGTTGTTTATGAAGCTGTATTTTTTATATGTGATATTAAAAAATAATTTGTTTATATAATAATTCAAGGTTTCAGTCAGACCTTCCCTATCTGTAATGTAGCATATGGCTTTCTTTTTCTGCATTTATGAAATACCATATATTGAACTAGATACATGCAGGCATTGCTACAGACTAGGTATTCCATAGGGAGACATCCCACAGATAACGAAGTGGTGCCTTTTTGAATATTATAGAATCATAGAACAGTTTGGGTTGGAAAGGACACTAAGATCATCTAGATCCAACCCCCCTGCCATGGGCAGGGATGCCTCACACTAGACCATGTTGCCCAGGGCTCTGTCCAGCCTGGCCTTGAACACTACTAGGAATGGAGCATTTACGACTTCTTTGGGCAACCTGTGCCAGTGCCTCACCACCCTCACCGTAAAGAACTTTTTCCGTGTATCTAACCTGAACTTCCCCTGTTTAAGTTTGAATCCACTACCCCTTGTCCTACCACTACAGTCCCTAATGAAAAGTCCCTCTCCAGCATCCTTGTAGGCCCCCTTCAGATACTGGAAGGCTGCTGTGAGGTCTCCACGCAGTCTTCTTCAGGCTGAACAGCCCCAACTTTCTCAGCTTGTCTTCATACGGGAGGTGCTTCAGCCCCCTGATCATCCTCGTGGCCCTCCTCTGGACTTGCTCCAACAGCTCCATGTCCTTTTTCTGTTGAGGACACCAGAACTGGACACAATCCTCCAAGTGAGGTCTCACGAGAGCAGAGCAGAGGGGCAGGATCACCTCCTTCGACCCGGTGGTCACACTTCTTTTGATGCAGCCCAGGATATGGTTGGTTTCTGGGCTGCGAGCGCACACTGCTGGGTCATGTTCAGTTTCTTGGACCCCCAAGTCCTTCTCTGCAGGGTTTCTCTGAATCACTTCTTTGCCCAACCTGTAGCTGTGCCTGGGATTGCAGAACCTTACACTTCACATTGTTAAAACTTCATGAGGTTGTCATTGGCCCACCTCTCAAGCCTGTCATGGTCCCTCTGGATGTCATCCCTACCCTCCAGTGTGTCAACCGAACAAAACAGCTTGGTGTCATCGGCAAACTTGCTGAGGGTGTACTCAATCCCACTGTTTTTTCCCCAAGTGACTGAATGGAAATTAAAGGCAGACTAAAAAAATGGAGTTTTACGGAAATTAAGAAATACTCTATTCATTTGCTCCTTTTATGTCAGGCCAGTCAGGTATATATTGTTTAGGAATAACAGTAATAATTTAACTAATGATAGTCTCTGTATTGAAAGTCTTTCTAAGAAGATGCTCTTTGACTTGTAGTTTTAATTTGATGGTTGATTATCAAATTAAAGATTAATTAAAGGTATAGCTAATAATAAAGATTATTAAAGCTATAGCTCCATATGTATAGTAGTGCAGTATATAAATATATAAGTAGTGCATATATCCAAGTATGTAAGTAGTGCAGCATTTCTAAGATAGGAGATTTCTAAGATTCTCTTGCCCTATGTCATTTTCTGGAGTCCTATCATCTTTGCTGAAGGTTAGTTAATTTGTTGCCTGGAAATCTCTGTTGGCCATATGACACCCAGAGGTTTCTAGCTGTATGTTTTGCTGATTTTTAGCCATCTTGTTTCCAACATTCCATGACAAAGCAGAACTGTAATAGAAGAGCTGCAAGACACTCTTTGAATGGATACAGAGAGGGCGTGCGCGTACAGCATGGCACTGGAATTCTCAAACCCCTTTTTCTGCTTGAATTATCATTGGCTGCTGTGTCGCTGTATTGTACTGTTAGAGCAACATCGCCTGTTCTATATTTGTGCTTGTTTACCAATCCAAGTGCCAGTGCCACAATGTATACTCCTTATCCAGATACAATACCAAATATGGACTGAGTACTCTCTATTTATCTTGCAAGAATATTGTTAATTTTCTTTAGAAGCTTTATAGAGTAAGTAAAATGCCTCAAAAATTCTATGGGAGAACAGAAGTTATGTAATTGTGGAGTATTCTGAGATTAGAATAAACTGGATGGAACTTAACTGATTCTGATTCTCCACTAAAGACATCCCCTGTACTAAGTGTGTTCTTTTTGATCTAAAGTGGTTTCTATAAAGGTGACAAAGTTTTAACAGGTATCTGATGCTACAGAAAAGTAACAAGTTATTTCTCTCTTCTTTTGGGCAGTTTTGGTATGAATCATGATGGAATTGGAAATTCCTGTGGGACCAAAGGTCATGAAGCAGCAAAGCTAATGGCAGCTCATATTACAGCAAACACCAACCCTTTTTCTTGGTCAGCCTGTAGTCGGGATTACATCACCAGCTTTTTAGAGTAAGTAATCTCTCAAGAAAAATCATGAGTTTTCAAAAAATTGACACTTTTCAGGATAAATAGTTGAGATTCAGTTACCTGTTCTTACAGTTTACATTTTTAGAATGAACTGACATAAATACAGCAAGTCACTTAAGATTTTTATTTTGTAAACCACCTTTTCTTTGTAATGGCAGAAGTTTCTGCTCCATTCCCACCTTGCAGTTCTCGTTATTAATCTGTGCAAAACATTTTGAAGTGCTGATTATATCTCATTTCTTCATTAATCTGAGGGTGAGAAATAGAGAAAGGTGGTATTTGTCTGTGAATGATGAGCATATTTTTTTTAAATGTGCAAATGTGAGGCAATCTAATGAAAGGAACAGGGTCATAGCCCTGTTGCCCTGTTACTTGTACATTTCATTCTCCAGATTTCTTCTATGCAGTCTTTTGGGGTCGTATCTATCAATGTTTTTTGGTACCATTGGTGAGAATATAAAAAGATTATACAGGAGGATGTCATAGATCTTGCTATTAATCCCTTAAAATTGTGCTAACCTATACTTCTGTGGTGATTTTTATCAAGAAGTATATTACTACCTGAAATTTTACTTCTGTATGAAAAAAGTTAAAACAGTCAAAATACGTTGGTCTTGACAGCATGCTCATACCAATGTAAGCATTGGCATATATGATGCATAATAAAGCCTTTATATGTATTTTCAATTCTGGAAGACAAACACAGAACTGTGAGTTCACTGAGAACAGATCAGTAACAGGATTTTTTTAAATGGCGTAGTACAGGCTTTGTGGGAGCAAATGGCAGTTGGTTGGTAGGTTCAGTGTCATCAATACAATAATTCCTTCATGAAATAAAGGATGTTCATTAATGAAGACACATGACTATTTTAGAAGATGAACTTAAATCACTGAAGTTGTCTAACTGTGAGACTATTAAGAGCAAAATGAGTTTCTCCTCCTCTTTAAGGGATCCGACCTCAGAATAAGGTGCTGTATTCTGAATCTTGCCTAAATGGAGCCATCTAGACAGATGAATTTTCTTTTAAGTTAGTTCAAATGTAGCTTCCCACACAACATAGAGGATCAGTGAATTGGTCTGAAGAGGTGTTGGAGCTCCTATGGAGTCAGTGGGCAGAGGCAAATGTTTAATGTTCGTGCTGCTCAGAGATAAAAAGCATCTCTTCAGTTATTTTATCAAGTAAAGGCTTTTTATTGCACCCTGCTTAACTGTGCACCCACCCAGTTTTTTGTATCAGAGTGTTTTGAAATGAGGGTTGAATAAAATAAAGCATACTGAGTAAAGTCATACTTACATATACGCATGACACGTGTTTCTCACTATATACAGTTATTTTCTCAGGAGATATATATGTATTAATTTAATAATTTATTTTATCTCTCTCTCTATATATATGTATAAATATAATCGAAGACTACCATTATAAAAATAAATGTGCAGGGTAGTTTTATCTTTTCACCACAGTCATTCATCAGTGATTCCCAGTTACCTGTGTGAATTCAACACTTCACATTAGCAGTCTTCCTAATATATCATGCAGCCTAGTTTTAACTATGACAAAGAATATGGTTTTCACATCATTTCTGAGAGATTATTTCACAGCTTTGCAGTTCTAACTGTAATATTACAGTTCAAGTATTTTCTTGTAACATTTGGGGTTTTGTTTCTTACTGTTACAGTTCTGTCATTCTCTGTCTCAATTACTTCTATTTGTTGCTTTCCTTTGAGCTCCATTTTGATCCTGTAATTGTCCTCATAATAAGTTGCCTATTGACAAAGACATAATTCAACAGATAGTTAAGAAGTCATTTCTTATTTATGGGTTTAGAGAAGGAAACATGGTAAAATTCTGTGACTTGTGTTATGCTGCATATAAAATAGAACTAAATATTGTTCATAATGTTCCCACACAATTTCAGCCTGAACTCTTACACATGGCAGCATCAATAATAAATTATTGTTTATAATATTTTAGCTATATTTTTGAACTTGGTTGTAGTAGTTATTTTTTTCAAAGCCACTTTTGTTTAAACATTATTTTACATATTGCAATCAAGATTAGCTTTTCACATTGTATAGGATATTGTGTTAAATAACTAAGAGCCAAAGCTAACTTCTTCATCTACTTACTTTGTGATCTGTTTTTAAAAATGTCAGATTTCTCAAGCATGATATATTAATTATGTATCTGTGCTTCTTACTGTTTATAGTTCTAATATCCTATAAATGAGTTGATGTTTTTTCCTAAAAATTGTTGGTTTATTATTTCATAGAGTAGTCTGTAAAATTGTAGGTTTTTTCTCCAGTTTCTAGTTTTCTACCCAGCTTTTCATGTCATTTCCTCAGTGACAGCAGGAAGCTGTTGAGATAGTTATACATGTACCTGCAGGACAGCTGTCAGAGGCCTTTATCACTTCTCTTAACCTGTTCACACCTTTCCTCAAGACAGAACAGCTTTAACAGCAAATACTTTTCTGTTGCAGGTAATGATCAGTGAGCAAGAAGCAAATTAAGATAGTGAGTTTCATGTGGTAGCGATTCCCTGACTGCTCCTACAAAAACAGAATAGTCTGCATTCGCACAGGAAAAATGATTCAAATATTTTTTAATGCTTCTTCATAGCTTAGCAACAGATGAGGAAAATGCTGTAGAGGCAAAACCTCAAGATGTTGTCACCTGTGTCTCCAGATAGATTAGATTCTGCTGCCTTTCTTTCCGTTTTATGTCAAGAATGGGAAAACAGCTTGGACAGGACCCAGTAGACTGCAAACAAGAAAACAAGTGGTTTTGTTTTCATTTTTTGTTTGTTTGGTTTTTTTTTTTTTTCTGTGCTGCTGAGTATGGCTAGTTTAGGATACATTTAGCTGTGTCTAACAAGAATAGAACATAATGTGATGAAATACAGATACAAAAGCAGAAGTGTGAGTCTGTATAACATTCCACACCACCAAGATTTATCAGCTAGTATCTGGATACAGGTTTGGGCACGGCTGTCATGGCATGAGGATAATGTAGTTGGAATGAATTTCAGTAGAAGTCACATGTTCACAGTATTACATGGTAAGATAGATTAATGTGGATTTACCAGCTAATCACCTCGGGTCACCACTTGTTACAGCAGTTTTGAACTGTGTGCCATTTTATAGTGTAGATATCACTTTGTCCTTTATGATCAGACAGAAGTATTTTGAGATAAAAGTTGTCCTGGTGACACTCAAAGTAGAGTCTCACCTTCATCCTTCTCTTCCTCACAACTTTCTTAAATCTACACCCAGAAACAAATTTTCCAGACTGAGGCTACTGAGGAATAGCTATTAAGGATGACTTGCAAGGTATCAGTTCAGTCAGGCACTAGTTGTGATAGCAATTTATTTTGCAGAGTTCTGGGTAAAGGGTAAATATGACTCAAAGGATGACAGTAAGACAAAGCAAAGCTATATATTTGCAAATAGATCTATTAGGACCTCAAGAAGGGTGGCCAGCCAGGTTCTGAAATGGCCAAAGAAAATAATTTTGTTCTGGGGAGAACATTCCTTCTAGCACATAATAGCTGTTGTCTTAAGCTTTATGTTAGAGTGAAAGATTGACTGAATTCAGTTTATCAACTGAATTGTTCATAAGTGCTTTGCAATGGCTTTAAATTTCATTAACCTTTTATGGAATTAAATGCAAAAATACTCACTGAGGATTGAAGGATTTGAGAGTAGTGTCTGAAAACAGATACCCCTATGAGAGGAGTAGAAGCCCTTAATAAGTATTTATAAGAGAAATGAACCAAGCCGAAAAATACTGTTTGTGACTGAAAAGCAAATAATATAGATTTCATTCTATGCAGCATGTGTATGCAGGGGTGTGTGTGTGTATATATA